ATGGCAGAGAAACCCTATCCATGAATTCCCCCAGGGATGGGGTACAGATATCCCTCTCCCTATGCCAGGAGAACAGGGTGTTTCTCAATCACCGCAGCCCCATAATACCCAGTTTGTGCCAGTCACCCACCAGGCATCATGGAGCAAAGCTTTCCCTTCATGCTGCACCATCCCCGGTGCTAAGGATGCTCCAGGATCCCCAGGGAGTTGCCATTCCTGCCTGTCCATGCTAACCTGGCATCACCAACCCAGCAAGATCCCCGCTCCCCAAAATACCTGTTGGCTCTGCATGGCTTGGGGTGAGAAGGGGGAAGGGTTGGGGCAGTGCGTCATCCCAGTTCTTGACCCGACTCCAAGGTCGCATCCTGCCTGCCATCCTGCAGCCACCGCCGGAGGGGAGGAGGGCTGGGGCCTTGCTCAGCCAGGGAGCTGTGGGTGCTGCTCTAACCGGGGTCATGGCTCTGGCTTTGCTTGCTAACAGCCTCTTCTCTCACCTTCCGGCTCTCGGCTCGTCACGGCACAGCAGAAGTCCTCCAGCTCGGCGTCCTCAGAGGCATCCGAAACCTGCCAGTCAGTTAGCGAGTGCAGCTCCCCCACCTCGGTTAGTCCTTGCCATCCCACCAGGGTTGCATTTCACACGTGGCTCCCCCCTCACTCCATGGGGTTCAGCCCCCAGCCCCTCCCCTCCCTTCCTGCATGGGGCAGAGCATCCTGAGCAGCACCCGTGGCTTAACACGGGGGACATCAGCTTGAGACCTCTCCTGCTACTCTCCTGGTCCCCGTGTCACCAGCATGAACCGCATGCCTTGCCCGTTGCAGGACTGGTCCAAGGCCAGCCCCTATGACCAGCCGGTGGTCCCTACCCTGCAGCGGCGCAAGGACCGCGTGGAGCACCTGCGGGAAGCCGAGCTGGGCTCTCCTGCTGCTGGGTACCCGGGCATCGGCGGCGAGGATGCTCCCAGGCCCCGGATGTCCCCCGCTACAATTGCTGCCAAGGTACCAGCTGCAGCAGGGAGGGCACAGAGGTGGGGGGCTCCTGGGGCCTCCCAAAGGAGGAACCAAGGTGCTGATAGTGCCCCTTGCCCCAGCAGCATGGGGAGGAGGTGTCCCCTGCCGCCAGCGACCTGGCCATGGTCTTGACCCGTGGGCTGAGCTTGGAGCACCAGAAGAGCAGCCGGGACTCGCTGCAGTACTCCAGTGGCTACAGCACGCAGACCACTACCCCCTCCTGCTCTGAGGACACCATCCCTTCCCAAGGTACTGCCACCAGGGGTTACCTGGGGCCACCTGAAATGGCATTTAGAGTGGGGAAGGGCACAACAGAGGTTTTGGTGACCCTGGGGTACATTTGTGTGCCCTGGGTGTCATAGCATCAGGCTATGGTCATACTGTGTAGGGGCTGGTGCCACAACTAACCACAGCTTTTCCTGGTTTTTTGGGTGTTAGCTGGGGCTCACTGGGTGCAGTTGTGCCAGGAAGCGCCGTAACAAGTGATGCGGTGATGTGTCCACACAGAGGTTGAGTACAGGTAGAGATGGTGGCACTGTTAGGTGATGGCAACAGTCGGTAGTTGGAGATCAAATAACCACGTCTGTCATGATGTTGGCATGATGATGGCTGAGCCAGTTATGAGCATGTGGTGGTGACAGTGGAGATTGGCTGTGATCGTGTGGTGATGGCTGTGATTGGGGTGGTTGTGATGGTGAGAGTTGGGTTTGGTGTGATTTCAGTGTGATGGCTGGGGTGACTGTGCTTTCCCTCCAGTGGCGATGTTTGTGTTTGATGGTGAGCATGTTGTGCCAGCAATGACAGCAGTGGTTGCGTGACGATCATGGCAGTTGAATTTGGTTGTTGTGCTGTGATGGAGGTGGCTGAGGCTGGCTTTAATGACATGGTTGAGCTTGGCTACCCACTGCTCCCCCAGCCACACTGATGGTGCTGCTGCCTCCCCAGGCTCCGACTACGACTGCTACTCGGTGAACGGTGACGTGGAGTGTGAGCCCCAGAGTGATTTTGACAAGTCCTCCACCATCCCACGCAACAGCAACATCGCCCAGAACTACCGGCGGATGATCCAGACCAAGCGTCCCGCCTCCACCGCCGGGCTGCCCACCGGCACCAACCTACCGGCCGGCACCACCCCGGGGGTGGCCACCATCCGCCGCACGCCCTCCACCAAGCCCTCGGTGCGCCGTACACTCTCCAATGCTGGCCCCATCCCCATCCGACCCCCCATCGTCCCCGTGAAGACCCCCACGGTGCCCGACTCCCCTGGCTATGCCGGCCCTACGCGGGTGGGCAGTGAAGAGTGCGTCTTCTACGCTGACGATGCCTCTCCGAACCCCCTGGATTTTGCCAAAGCTTCGCCCAAGCGGCTGAGCCTTCCCAACACCGCCTGGGGTGGCGGTGCCGTGGAGATCTCCGTCTACCCCGGGGCCGGCCAGCACCTCTCCGCTGAGGAAGAGGAGGACCAACAGTTGGCTGCCAACCGGCACAGTTTGGTGGAGAAGATTGGGGAGCTGGTGGCCGGCGCCCACGCCTTGGGGGAAGGCCAGTTCCCCTTCCCCACCGCCCTCGTGGGGTCCGGCCCCAGCGAGGAGACCCCCGCGCCGCCCCCCGCGGCCTCCATGGACCCCCCGGCCGAAGACATGCTGGTGGCCATCCGGCGCGGGGTGCGCCTGCGCAGGACCGTCACCAATGACAGGTCGGCCCCGCGGATATCGTGATGGTGCCCGGCCAGCAGGGACGTGCCCGCCGTGGCCCACGGACCCCCGGGGGCAGCTGCTGCGCCTCCCGGGAGCCCCCACCCGCCGGCACCTGCTGCCCCATCCCTCTCTGGTGCCCCTGCTTCCTGCCCCTCTGTCTCCTGCCTTGCGCTCTCCCTACATCCCTCCTTCACGTGCTCTCTCTTTGGCCCTCTTTCTCCTTTTCTTCTCTTCTTTTTCCTATTTTTTCTGTTTTTTTTTTTCTTTTGGCATTTTTCTTTTTTTCTTCTATGTCACTTTTCCTTCTCTTTTCTTATTTTCTTCATTTTCCCGTTTTTCTCCTTTTCCTCTTCTTGTCCTCTTTTTCTTTTCCTTTCTTTTTAACTCTTTTTGTCCTCCCTTCTCTTTTCCTCTTTTTTTTTATTCCTTTCCTTTTTTCACCTCTTTCCCTTTGATTCCCTTTTCTTGTTGCTCTCTGGCTTTCCCTCTCCTCTCTGTTTCCTTTCCCTCGGGCGCAGACGGGTGGCCCCAGCCGCAGCAGGAGAGGATGGTGCCAGCAGGTCTGTGGCAGCCGTGGAGCACCAGGAGCACCAGGAGTGGGGGCCCTGGCCCCATTCCCCCCAGCTGCCTGCTTGGGGCCGCCACCGCTCACCCTCATTCCAGGCGGCAGAAGCAATGGGCAGGGGGTGCAGGGGGGGAAGAAGAAGTGGGGGACATGTGAGAGGGTGGGGGGGCTGGGGGTAGAGGCTCTGCGATCCCCTCTGTCTTGGGGGGACACCAGGGTGCAGGGACTGAGGATGCTGAGCCTCCACTTTGCCCCCCCTCCACAAGGATCACTTGGACTCCCTGCAAACGCCCTCGCTCCGCACCCACGGACGCTGTGCAGGTCTGCTCAGAGGTGGGTGCAGGCACAGGAGGTTTGACTCAGAACCCCCCAGGCAAAGCAGCTTTCTGCCGGCGGCTGGAGGAAAGCACAACCCCCCGGCCCCCGCTGTACATAGCCCCGCCGCCCCGCTGTCTGTCGCATCGCAGCCCCTCAGCCCTCCCACTTAGGAATAACAATTTAGTTCTCCCCCTTTCCCCTTCTCCTGCCCAGAACCGCTGAGGCCAAGTGACAAATGTTTGGGTTTGAGGGAGGGGGGGGATCTCTTATTTTGTACAGAATACAAAAATTCTTTGGAGAAGGAAAAAAAACCTGACCTGTCTTTCAACTGAAGTAACTTTTCTGGTGCTGTTGTTAACTTGGTCCTTATTCTTTTCTTTTTTTTTTTAATTTATTTTTCCCCATCGTGTTCCTGCCTCTGCTGCCACTTCCCCTCTCCCTGTCCCTCTGCCACGTTTCTTTCTCTTTCTTTCATTCCGTCTTTTCTTTTAATTTTTTTTTTTTCTGGTGGTAATTCCCCTCTTTCTGCCCCTCCCCCGTTTTCCATAGTCACTGCTACAAGTAACGAATGCACTGTGAAGATTCCAGTATTAATAAAGGTTGTACTGTAATTAATAGCCTTGCCTGTGCTGCTATGGATTTTCTCTGGGGTCACCCCAGTAATGGGGAACAGGTGAGAAGGTACCATCACCCCTTTGGGCTTCCCATGGCTTGAGGGGGTTTTGGGCTATGGAGGAGTGCAACGACCCCGTGGCCAAGGGGATGGGTGACCCTGGGCTGCAGAAGAGCATCCTGCTGCCCCATCCCCCGCACAAGTGGGGGTGCAGGCGGTGCCCCCCGCTCCACCCATCCCAGCAGCACCCGCAGCCCTGGCACCTCCCGGATTATCGAGGCCGATTGCCAAATCTCGCCGGGGCAGCACAACCGGCTGCGGAGAGCGGCGGGGATGGAGGGGCTCAGCGTGGGCAGCGTCCTGCTGACCGGCTGCGACGGGGGGCTGGGCCTGGGGCTGCTGAAGGGTTTGCTGGAGCAGCCCAGCCCACCTCGGCACATCTTCGCTGCTTGCCTGGACCCCCAGGGCAAGGTAGGGAGGGCACCGGCGCGGGGAGGGCAGAGTCAGCTCTGGGATGGGCGCCTGGGGATGCCACTATCCCACCTGAAACTGGGAGGCTGAGCATCAGCGTCCTGCACGATGAATGGTATGGAAAAATACATGTGTGTGTGTGTATATATATATATAAAAACCAAAAATACATATATTAAATATTATCTATGTATGTATCAAATACGCACGTATTTATTTTGCATCTCTCGGCGCAGGTGTGTGCATGATGGGGAGTGCAGGGGGGGTTACTGTTGCTGCAGGGAGCTTTGAGCTCAGCCAAGCGCAGAGGAGCAGCGACTCGCCCCAAATCGCTCCCCCTGGATCTTGTTGTAACCTGTGACATGAGGGCCACCCTCTTCCCACCCCGGCACGGTGCAGCCCCCCCTCCACTTCCATGAGCTTCTCCATGTGACCCCTGCCTCCCTTTTCTCCACCTAGGCTGTTAACGAGGTGGCTTTGGGCTTTCCCAACGTCATGATCCTGCTTCTAGGTAAGTGCTGGGGCGGGAAAGGGATGAAGCTTCTCAGGATTTAATTGCAGCCGTGGGTGGTTCCAGGAAATGCCACCAAGCAGGTGGGTCCCTTGGTTTGGCTTAGCTCAACCAGGTCACTGATGGGACCAGGAGGATGCTCGGTGGCTGGGAGTTGCCTCCTGCCATGTCCTACAGCATCTTGCCAGGGTCGTGGCCACCAGCCTGTCCCCAAAACCTCCTGTCCCCTTGCAGATGTGACAGACCCCAACAGCATCAAGGCAGCAGTCAGGAAGGTGCAGGCAGAGGTGGGAAGTGCTGGCCTCAACCTCCTGATTAACAACACCGGCACCACGCGCCGCAGCACCTTGGCCACCGAGACAGCAGAGAACATGAGCCTCGTCTACACCACCAACACCATCGGGCCCCTGCAGACCAGCCAGGTGAGGACACAGGCAACCCCTGCCCCAAACACTGGGAACAGGGAGGAGGAGGATGGTGATGCCTGAGATCCCATCCCCTGCAGGCCTTCCTGCCCCTGCTGAAGAAGGCGGCTGAGGCCGAAGGGCAGCGTGAGATGAGCTGCAGCAGAGCTGCCATCATCAACATCTCCAGCATCCTGGGCTCCATCGAGGTTGCGGAGGCTTGGGAGGAGAGGCAGGACATCTGCTACCGCTGCAGCAAGGTACCGCCCTTGGGAGGATGGGGAGGAATTTGGGGGTCATCTCCTCTGGGATTCCCCTCTGCACCGGCCCTGGCATTGCCAGATCATGATGGTAAGGAGGGGAGTTTGTCCTCCCAGGCTGCTCTGAACATGCTGACCAAGTGCCTGGCCCTGGAGTACGGGAGCAGCGGGATCCTCTGCGTGTCTGTGGATCCTGGACATGTGACACCTCCCTTGGAACAGGGGATGGTGAGTGATGGGGGGTGCATGGACTCCTAGCTCAGCAAGGTCCCATGGGCATCCATTCCTGGAGGCATCCTTTCCCAGGAGCATCCCTTCCCAAGGCCACCCCTTCCCATGAACATCCATTCTCAGGGTCGTCCTTTCCAGAAGCATTTCTTCCCACAGACATCCCTTCCCATGAGCACATTCCTTCTTCATAAGGCATTTCTTCCCATGGACATACTTTTCCCATGAACATCCCTTCCCTGGGCACCCTTGACCATGGACATCCCTTCCCTGGGCACCCACATCTGTGCAGTCCCTTGGTCCCACAGTGGCTGTGCCACCACTGCAAAGGGACAATTCCAGGCACTCCCCCCAAATCATCCAATTTCTTCCCTATTTTTTATTTCCTTTCCCATCCTGACAGTGTGTCAGCAGAGGGCACCCCGGTCCTGCACTCGGCTGTCCCTTACCCTGCTCTGGCTGACAAACGAGACACTTTTTAATTAGGAATGAAGAAATTAACCCCCATCCTTACAGCACTCAAATTTGTGCAAAGTCACATCCCTTGGCTGCTGGAGCATCTCCAGTTGCTCCCAAACCAGCCCAGCTGGAGCTGGCATTCCACCACACCATGGGTGGGATTGGGGGTGTTGGGATGGAGAATCCTGGCTCACTTTTTCCCTTGCCCCTGGGTGTGACAGGGCCCGGTGACGCTGGAGGAGAGCGTGAGGGGCGTCCTGCAGCTGCTGGCCCAGCTCTCAGCCACCAACAATGGCACCTTCTGGGACTGGAGAGGACAGAGGCTGCCCTGGTGAGAGCAGCATCTGCTCAGTGAGCTTAAATAATTAATTAAAGTTAATTAGTTGTCATTTCCAGGCTCACTCTGATTCAGGGAGGGGGCAGGGCAGGATGGGCAGGGCAATAGAAACAGGGATGCACAGGCTGGGGGATGGGAGTTGGATTCACTGCCCCCCTGGTCTGGGATGCTGATTCGGGCCAGGGCAGCATAAGGAGGGATGCTCCAAGGGTGGTCCTGAATCCAAGGCATCCCCCGGGGCCAGGAGAACCCCCTGGCTATCCTCACTCCAGGGCCATAAACCATACTGCCTATGGGGGCATCCCAGGCAGCCCCCAAACTCAGCTCTTCTCCTGCTGAGCCTTTCCATGCCCACCCCAGGATGCTGCCAGGTGTTTTTCTTGTTGGTTCTAGGCCAACAACAAGTTCTTCCTATTCCAGCAGCTGGGGGGGTTTCACAGTGGGGGATCTCCCAAGTCTCAGCACATGCCTAAAGATGTCTTTTGAGACCTGAGCAGGGCATCCTGGCCTGACCTTCCCTGAATCCATCCCTCATGGTGCACCAGGGGATGTTCTAAATAGGCTTCCATTCCTGATCCTGTGAGTGCTTTCCTGTAGAGGCTCTCAGCTGGCATTTTTGAAGCCCTCTCTCAAAAGAGGGATCAGAAGAAAATGCACAGTATCTCAAGTGGGCTGGACACACAGCCCATTGCTGTGGGGATGCTCTGGGAAGCTTGGAAGGGGTCATTTTGCAGGGACAGCTTCAGTTTTCCCACAGTGGAGGAGAATGAAGGATCATTCCCACATTTGACATGAGGGAATGGCAGGTTGGGGCTCAGCCCCAAGGGCTGAGGCAGCCCCAGGTGGGTCCCTGCACCACACAGGGACTCAGTTAAAGCCAGCAGGGATGGGGGAGAGGGTCCTTCTAGTTAAAGCCCTTACCAAGCAGTGGATCTACTGGTGGCTTTATATGAGCTCTGTGTGGGCTTTATATAAACAGGAATCATCACTAGGCATGAAGGGAGGAGGAAAAGGAGGAGGAGGAGAAGGAAGAGTTCCTCCACTCATGCTGCAGTGCCCATTGACTCATGAGCCTAAGCCATGAATAGACCAATTAAGGTCTCTAATAGCTGATGAAAGCAATTAACTAAGCTGTAAAGGGGGGAGGCAGCCAGGCAGCCCCAGTGCCTCCAGTGTGCTGCCTGCCCCACACCACCAAGCACAACAAACAAATCCAGATGTTTCCTTGCTGGGGAAGCAGCCAGGGCTGAGGGAAGTAGCTTGGCAGGGGTCCCTTTATCAGAGTGAGTCTCTCCCCAACAGCAGTGAGGGAGGTGGCTGATACCCCAAAAGAGGAGGCAGTGCAGGCAGTGGGATTCTCTTTGCTGGTCCTTTATTTCGGGTAAGGCTGGAGGTTCCCAGGACCCAGTCAGAAGCTGAGCTGCAATGCTAAAGAATTAACTGGTGTTTAATCAAAGCTGAGGAAAAAATACAAATGGAGAGAAACAGGGTGATGCTCTCACCTGCACTGTGGGCAGGGAGAGCTGCGTGTCCCCCCAACAGCTGCCTGCCACAGGGGCTGTGTCTGACCCCCCACCCATGCAAAGGGTGGCAGACATTTTGGATGGACAAGATCCCAGCCATAAACAGTCCCACAGTTCTGGAAAGGGTTGTGTTTGGTCCTGGAAGGAGTGGCATTTGTTCCACCTTTGCAGCTTCCTTGGGAACCCACCATGGGGCTCTGGGAGGAGCAGAGCAGAGGCAACACCCAAGGCTCCAGGGCAAGGAGGTGTCCAGTGAGGGGTTGAGTGAAGGATCTCCCACAGTGCTAGGTGGACTCCCACCGACCTGAACAGAGGGAACAGTACCATGGTGTGGGAAAGGGTGACCTTCCCTGAATCCATCCCTGGCACCCACATTCCCCAAGATCAGCTCCCCACCGTGATCCCCAACTCACAGGGCCCCCCGAAGAGCATCCGCATGACCTTGAGGCAGTTGTCCAGCAGTGCCTTGGGGCGAACAGCCTTGCTCCGGCTCTCAGCGCCCGCGCTGTAGATCAACTTCACCAGATCGGCCACCACGGTTTCCACGTCTGTCTGCAGTGACAAATCACCAGGATGGCACCAAGGTCCCCCAAGGGACAGAGGGGTGCAAAAGAATGTCACTGTTGCATTGGCCGGGAATCGAACCCGGGCCTCCCGCGTGGCAGGCGAGAATTCTACCACTGAACCACCAATGCCAGATGTGCAAC